TGTGTGACCTTCCTTCCAGTCAAAGGATCACCCTCTCTATCTAGAGAAACAGTGGTTGGGAAGATCAGCTTGTGATGATTTTGAGAGTATTCCTCTAAATAATAATTTTAGTAGTGACCACAATGCATTGCCAAGACTTGTAGTATTTTCTGAAATGAAGATAAGGTTTTCATTAGAAATTCAGTGTGTGAGTGAGCCACAGTCCTTAGAAAGTAGTGAGTTCCATTTAGTGTGTATAGTTGTACCAAGGTTTGTAATGTATACGTTCATAATACGTGGTTACAGTGAATACCATATTCTATTGCTGTTTTTGGGAAAGGGAACATTCTCATATCTGTTTTTACTCTATCACGTGAAGTTATAGGTTGTCTCCAATCCCTAGATATATCCAGGAGTCACAGTTACAATTCCAGTGGTTCTGTACTCAGCGGAGTATGAACTTCACAAGTGGAAATGCACACTCCTTTAGAAATGACCGTTTCAAACACAGAACATGATTATGCTTACAGACTCCTATGTGTTCTGCTGATTTATTCAGATTGTTGCTTTTCTTAGGTTGGGACTGGAACAGGAGGGATCAGGTGGGAGTAGTCCTGGCAGGGAGCGAGTACTGGGAGAGACAACTGGAGCTGGGGATATCTTGGACATCAACTAGAAACATAGTGAAACGGAAACTCCCAAGAGTCTATGAGGGTGACTCCAGCTAAGACTCCTAATAATGGTGGATACAGAGCCTGAGCCAGCCATCTTCTGTATCCAGGCAAGACTTCCAGGGGAAGGACTGGGACACAAACTCAGCCACGAAGCCTTCAAACTACAATTTATCCTGCTTGCAAAATGAGGTGGGGTAAAGGTGCAACAGAAATTGTGGGAGTGGCCAACCAATGACTGGTCCAGCTTGAGACCCAACGCTACCACAGGGAGCTCACCCCTGACACCGCCTGGAGGGCCAGGACCCAGAAGGTGGATAGCCTAGAGGCCTAGGATAGAATGAAACACACAACAGGCAACAAACACACAAACAAACAAACAAAAAACAAAACCAATAAAACCCTAAAACCAAACCAACCAACCAAACAAACAAATAAACAAAAAGAAGTCAAGGAGTTGATTCTGAATGATATTCTGCTATACTTGCAGAATGGAGACTAGCATAATTACCATCAGAGAGGCGTCATCGAGCAACTGATGGAAACAGAGACCTACAGCCAAACATTAGGCAGAGGGTAGGGAATCCTGCAGAAGAGGAGGAAAGATGGTAGGAGACAGAGAGGTCAAGGGCTCCACAAGAAAACTTACAGAATCAACTAACCTGGGCTCATAGGGCCTGACAGACTGAGACAACAGTCACGGAGCCTGCGTAGGTCTAACCTAGGCTCTCCACAAACACTTTATGGTTGTGTCGCTTGGTTTCTTAGGGACTCCTCACAGTAGGAGCAGTGACTGTCTCTGACTCTTTTGCCTTCTTTTGGGAGCCTTTTCTTCCTACTGGGCTGCTTTGTCCAGCCTTGATGTGAGGATATTTGCCTAGTCTTATTGTTACTTGTGCCATGTTTGGTTGAGATCCCTGCGAGGCCTGTTCTTTTCTGAAAAAAAAAAAAATGGAGGAGGAGTGGATCTGGGTGAGAAAGAAGTTAGGGAAGGGGAACTGGAAGGAGTGGATGGGAGGGGAAACTGAGGTCCGGAAAAATAGCTGCGTTTGCAGTATGCTTCCTGTTTGTGGAAGACAGGTCTTAGGGCTGCTGAGCAGTTAGTTTTCTAGTTGTCCAGTAGATGGCAGTCTACGCACTGGTTTTCAATGACTACCTTACGTGCAGGATTCAGACTTCATCATAAAAGGAAACATGCACTTGTTCTTTAGGGTCATTGGTTTTGAAAAAGATTTTGGCACGATAAAGCAAATGAAATAATTTTCTTAAAATATCTAAGATATTAGAATACTAAGAGAAACAAACAACTGTTTTTTGCTTTTGTAAATTGTATTTGTTAGAGTATGATTGGCAGCCAAGATGCTGCCCTTTAAATGTGACTCGGACATGCTAGATAATGTTTTGTTCTCCTGGAATGTTTTCTTTTACATTGAAAGCACAACTTAGGGCCAGATATGAAGTACGCCCCCAAAAGTCCAAGTTTCAGATTTGGTCTTCAGCTTGACCCTGTTGGGAGGAGGAAGTGGAACCTTTAAGAGGGAGGGTGTATCGGGAGACTTTCAGAACACCAAGAGTACTTTTGAAGAGGATTATGGGATCATAACTCCTTCTTTGATTTCTGTTTCTGGCTTCTGTGTGAGTGCTCTTGCTCTGCTTTGCATTTCTGTCACAGCCTGCTGTCACTAGCCCAGAACAATGGGTCATCTGCTCACGGACCGAAACCTTTAAAACCCAGAGCCAAAAATTATTATTATCAAATACTAAGAGGTTCTTAAAGGGGAACTTAGAATGATTTGAAGAAAGGAGAGGGAAGAGGGAGAGGAAGGGAAGAAGGAAGGAAGGGAAAGGGACAAAGAAAAAGAGACACAGAGACACACAGAGAAAGAGAAATAGACTGAGAGAGACAGAGACAAAGAGGAGAGGTTTTTTCCCCTAAGGAAAAGGAGGGTTTAAGATTTTCACCTTCATGGTGGTCTTGTGTTTCTCAGAGACTTTATCCGGTTGTATAAAAGAAGAACTCGTTCTTATGAAGGACTAAGGAGGTACCAGGCAATGTCACTGACTGTGGAAGCATGTGCCTTTGGGTTGCAAAGCCTGTACTGGGCTGGGTGGTGGCAGCGGATGTCTTTAATTCTATACTCAGTTCGAGGCCAGCCTGGGAGGAGAGATTAACTGAACACTTCATCACACACGCTGCTACTCAATTCCGAATGCTCTTTGACATTACACTTTCCACAAGGTCACGTTGCCTCTTATTATCTTTTCAGTCTCTAGGTCTCAAGCTCATAGCAAATATACTTTTTTTTAACTAGATACATGATTATTTGATAATGCTAAAACTATTTCAAGCTTAAGAATTTGCAGATGGAAAGGAGATGTCCATCTCCAGCGATAGAGATGATGAGGCGAGGTAGCTTTTCAAAGGGAAGGTTAGCAAATACTCCTCACACTGAACAATACTGTAGAGGCAAGGCCAAGTACAAGAAGTCACAGAGGTCAGGGAGGAAACATATGAAGAAATTGGTCCAGTGCACTTAGCATGTGTTCAAAAGAACTGATAATAGCATACTTGTGCCTTCACGTTCATAGCAGCTTTATTTTCTATTGAAAGGTTTTTGTAAATATATGTCGATCACGTTTTTCCATGTTTTCCAATTTCTTCCTGACTCTCCAACTTCTCTGCCTATCCAAGTTGATGTTCTTTTAAAAATGTCTTTCAAAAACAAATAAAAACAAGAAACAAAAACAAAAACCCCAAGAAACACAACCCTACACAAAAAGACAAAACTGAAAACCAAAACCAAAAAAAAAAAAAAGAAACAAAAGAAAAAGAAAAAGATCAACAAGAAGTAAAGTGTCAAACCAAAGCAATACGAAAAATGTACCACAGAAATACCATTGAGTTTGTTTGGGTTGGTCAACTGCTCCTGGGCCTAGGGTCTTCCCTGAGGTGTGGTTGATATACGTAGTGAGACTCCACTGGAGAAGACTGATTTCCCCTTTGCCAAATGGGTATCAATTGGAGATAGAGTCCTGATTTGTAGTGGGACTCCAAGCACATGTACTATTCTGAGTGTTGGGGCCCTGTCTAGCTTAAACCTATGCAGGTCTTGTCAGAGCAGCATTGTTGACCTATGGAGTCAGCATGGATGGATGGATCCATGGATGAATGGACAGATAGGTAGGAAAAAGAATAAATAATAAACAATGTGTATACACAAAGTAATGTTGAGTCGTAATAAAGCTGCTATCTGGCTAACCTTGAAGACACAATGCTTAATGAATAAGCCAGTCTCAAACAAATACAACATGATTCCACTTTCATGAAATACCTAAGTAGACAAACTTGCAGAAGCAAAGCAGAACTGTGGCTGTCCAGGGTTGGGTTGGGAGCAATGTGGAGCTGTTTAACAAAGTCAGAGTTTCAGTTTTGCAAGGTAAGAAGATTCTGAAGATTGGTTATCAGACAGTATGAATGTACTTGCCACTAAAATTCAGGAATATATCTAACACTATGAACTGTGTTTGTAAAATGGCTTGCAAGATAAAATTAAGTCACGTGTATTTTACCCTAACTAGAAAGAATCAAAAAGGAAAGAAGAAGAAGTCTAGTAGATTATGCTGGGTGCGCTTTCGGTGGTATCTAGGTCTTTCTTTCCCTTGGTTCTGAGAACACCACAGCTTTGTATAGATCTGAGGGATAGATTTCGTCATACTGTCAATGCTAGTTGGGTCTTGCACTTATGACATTTCCATCTTCCATACCCACTTTGTTAAGGGATGGGGTAGGTATAAGGTGTGTGTGAAGGGTTCAGAAACCTTCCCTGAGGTTTCAGCCTGAAGAAAGTTATTTACAGAATTTGGAGAGAATGAGCTGAAAAACATTCAATATCTCTTTAACCTCTTTGAGGGCTGAAGACTAATGTCAAACTGGTCTCCACTTGGCTTTTATGTGGTATACTGCAGGTTCAGGTCAGCTCTGCAAAGGCTGTTGGCAGCGATACACTAAGATGATCTCTGAGCAGCACTAAAGAAGTTCTTATTTTTTAAACACTCATTACAAAAAAACCAGAAAACCAAGCTTATGAGTTTTAGAACTCAGTGGAAATTGAAAAGTAGGATAGGATGCCATCTGGGCTTGCACACTAGGAAAAGAGCTTGCTGCAGGCCTCCTAAGAAACTTTTCCAGGACTCTCGTCTTTTTATTCAGCCTTCAGGAATGCTCGCTGCCCCACCCCCACCTCCTTCTTTTAATATTTTTTTTGGGAACTCTGCTATCCCCTTGAGTCTTATTGTTCCCATGTATTTTTTTTTTTTTTAAGCTTGTGAGTCAGAGCTCTCCTACAATGAGAAAAACGTTTGGCCTCATAGGGCCTTGCCAAGGCTAGTGACTGTGCCAAGGAGCAGAGTTGGTACTGCCCGTGCTATCCTAAGTGCAAGGCCAGTGGTACCCTTACTTTGAGCTTGGGCATTTCTCTGTGGAGAGGCTTTTTATGCTGCATGAGCCTCCTCCTCGCTCTTTGCTCTGTGCCCTTTGCGCTTTTCTGAGAATCCTTCTCCTCTGGGTAGGGCTGCTGAAGCATTCCTGAATTCCCTGAGGGTAGCTCAGGCAAACTATACTCTTCTGGAGAAGACCAGGGCCCCTTAAGACACCTTGTTAGAGTATCTTCCCTTTCCCAGGTCTCAAACTAATTCTCTATGGCTCTGGATGGCAGCAGCTTCACAGCTAAGTGCCGATCCCACAGTGAAGGACGTTCGGTTTAATTCTGTGTAGAAATAAGTTGGGCTAAATCACAGAAATGTGCGTTTCCAGTGATATGAAAATAATGGTGGCTTAAAGTCATTTGGATCAAGGATGGAAACGATAATATATTTAAATCAAGAGAAGAGTGTCCAGCTGCTTTTAACTTTCCTCACTTGCCTGAAGCTGGTGTGACTTGTCTTCCCAATGGTCTCCAAGAGACTAAGGACTACCCCCATTATTTATCTTTCCATCATAACTCCAGAAGTGGACACAGATCCCCATCCTACAGGAGGACAGATGTCCCAACAGAGTAGGGAAAATGCTGGCATAGCAGTGACTCATAGTGTGACCATGGAAAATTCCAGTTATAAAGCATGAAAAAGTTAGATTTTCCCTGAAGAAGCGTCTCCCAATCGTTCCTCCCACTCATCTGCTCTCCCTATATGTCCAGAACTGGCTCTGCAGGAAGGAAGGGAAGCGGGGACCCCCATGACTGTGGTGGGGAGAGGCTAGCTACAAACAGCTGGGTTAATCCACTTGGGCATTGCCAGTATTGCGTTTGTCATGGGTGACTGTTCAATAATGTAAGGCCAGCTGCTGTAACAGAAAATCCCTGCAATTTTTGTAGAACAGCTCAGTGGAAATTTTTACTCATACAGGAGGCATTCTTGCTGGGCGGAGACAGATGATCATGGCACAGGCCACTACAGTCTTTTGAGGGCCTGCACTAAGATAGTCATTGCTATTTCATCACTGAAGTTACACAGATTATCTTGATTTCTAGCTCCAGCCAATAGGCAGAGGACGAGTCATAGATGAGGTGCTATGGTTCAAATCTAGAAAGAGAATGCGTGGTTTCTCCTTAAGTACTAGTACCAGGTCTGAGGGACATGGCCAATAGGAGAAATGCTAGCATAGGTAGAACTAGTATGTGCCCATAAGGAAAAGCAGAATATCATACAGAAACTAGTTCGCCAGTTTCTGGCATAGTAGCCAAAGTCCATTTCCCAGACCGACAGGTATTAATAGTAGGCCAATCATAGGTGCTGGTTGATGGGCAGTGGATAGTCCTGAAGTCTGGAATTAACTCGGGAGAACCAGGCAGTGATGCGAAGTAGGAGGGCCAGAGCCAAAATACTGAATGGGTCTAAACAGGAAAAGCCAGTATGGTTTCAGGAACGGTGTGGAAGCTCAGATAAGCTTTTGATTCTTTGGCCAATCCAACCAATCTGGGAATGATGTTCTGGACATGATGTGTAAAGTACAATTCTAGACCATATCACGTGAGGGCAAAGGATTGCTAATCTGGGAGCTGAGTTAACTAGGAGTCTCTAGCTGGTTCAGGTGACCGAGACTGAGAAGTAAAGCATTACATACAGCACTTCCCTTATTCATGAATCCAGGAAGCACAGAGCCATCTCACTTTATTTTTCACTGGGAAACCTGGCAACCTGTGAACCACGAGGCCATGTGAACTGGCTATTGTGTGGATGATAAACTAGTGTATATAAAGCCAGCAGTACCTCTCGGCAGCCCTCTGGAATCATCTAGCTCTTCTAATATCTCCCAGTAGTGGGACACCTTCTAGCTGAGAATGTAGAAGTACTTAGGTTTGGCTATGTCAGTTCAGAGAATGGAAATGGTCGTGAGTCTTAGCAAGACCTTCTCCTTCTATGATAGATCAAACTGCGTGTGTGTTGCCCTGGGTTTTTGCATGCACAAAGCTAACTGTGGCAGCTATGTAATAGCTACCCAATAGCTGCCTCCCTTCTTTCATTACTTCTGTACTTCCCAGTTGAGCTTTCCTTCTCTTCTCAGTAGATCTATTTGACTATGAAGTTTTATCCCAGACTAGTCCTCATGGAGCATGAAACAAGAGCTCCATTTATCCAGAATATGGACCAGAATGGGGACTAGACTGTGTGGGGAGGTCATTTATCCAGAATGTGGACTAGAC